AGTGTTTTTATCGAGACACCATCTTTAGCCTTTACTCAACCAAGAGCCCCAAGGCAGGGGATGTTTAGCTGGATGCAGTTAACATCTGCCCAAGATGAGTGTTTTTATCGAGACACCATCTCTAGCCTTTACTCAACCAAGAGCCCCAAGGCAGGGGATGTTTAGCTGGATGCAGTTAACATCTGCCCAAGATGAGTGTTTTTATCGAGATACCATCTCTAGCCTTTACTCAACCAAGAGCCCCAAGGCAGGGGAATTTTTACTGCATTTGGACGCTTTCTGTGTTTCTCAAATGATGTGATAAGTTTGTAAACATTAGCAGACACTTGTTGTTTGGAAAGAACAGGAAAATTAAACTTCTGCCAAAGATTCATCAATTCCTCTGATATTTTTCTTAGTCAATTATGTTGTCTTTTCAATTCATTAAAGAGTCCCAAGAATCTTTTAACGATATCTCTGTTGGAAAGCATTTTACACAATTTGTCGCTCATATCCTGTTTTACCTGTGGTATATATTAGGAGGGCGCTTCGTGCTTGATTTCAAATTTTGTGTCCATCTTTCACCAGCTGCTTCCACTGCTGATTTTGACTTTTTACTTTTAAAGGACATGTTTTCAAAAAGAAGCACTAAACAGCAGATCTTGCAAATTAATACTGCAAATAATGAAAAAACTTTTTAAATACTTCTATTCAATATTTTAATCGCGCGAACATTAAAAAATACTCAACAACAAACAACAACAAACGCGCATTAATTTGAAAAAAAGTCGTTAAAATTTGTTATTCAAAATTGAGTTACATAGCATAAAAACTATCGAACTTTTTCATTCTATGTTAATTAACTTTTTAAACTGTTTGACGCTCTCCAACTTGTAGTTATATTCAAGCATAGTCAAGCATAAGGAATTAAGAACTGCGAACAAAATCAAGTGAAAAATCAAAAAAGTTAAAAGTGGTGAGGTGCTAGGTGCGGGAGGTTTTTTTGTGATCCAATGAAATAAACCTCAAAACAGTGATCTTATGGTAAAAGTTCATCAAATGCAACATTAGGAAAATTAAAATTTTGAAAAAAGTTTTTTTGTCATATACCTAATATATATGTGTTTGTGTGTATATATTATATATATATATATATATATATATATATATATATATATATATTAGGGCTGTTTTATATATATATATATATATATATATATATATATATATATATATATATATATATATATATATATATATATATTAGGGCTTTTTTTTCTTTTAAACTATATCAACCTGGTACTCAAAAGAAACAGAATAATATGCTGATTTTAAAAATAATATTTGTTTTTATTTAAAACTAAAAAATAAAAAGTATATAGTTTTTTTAAAAAAAAAAACAATCCCATCTTCAACAGAATTGGGGTTTTAGGTATATTTTTGCAAATATTTTTTTTCACCAAGAATTTTTTTTAAATAAAATTATTATTTATAAAAACAACCATTTTTTTTGAGTCCAAGGTTGATATGGTTTGTAAAAAAAAATCAAAAATATTAGGACCCGCCAAGAATTTAGAATCCAAAAAGGAACCTCAAGATCTCATCAAAATCAAAAAGTATTTTTTTACTTTCATCTTATAATTAGTAGACATCGATTTGGGCTTTGATATTTTTTTTAATCTTGAAGGTAAAAAATGATATAAATATATTTCCGGTTCCAACAAGAATTTTATGGATAATTTTTTTAAAGAAAAAAATTTTAAAAAAGATCGAAAAGTAAATGCTTTTATTCATTCAAGACTGGAAAAAATAAATTTTTGTTTTAAATTGTAAACTTAAAGTATGAGAGTTGTAAATTTTAAAACATAACATTTAAAACATTAAAGTAATACTTTTAATAAACAAAAACATAATAAAAACAGAAAATTTTTGGTAATAGCACCTAAATTATACGATATAAAATAGTAAAAGGTATGATATTTTTTATGTGTGTTTAGAAACTAATTTGTCCCAGTCTTCTTTTTTTTTAGTATTGCATTCTCTAACTGGGTGTAGTTAAGGCAATTTTAAAATATTATAGTGTCTGTATGATATTTTGTTGACTACAACATATTTCCATTAAATGACGAGCTCTGTGAATTATAAAAAGACGAAAAAATAAAATGATAAATTTTGCAATATCATAAAATATAAATGTTTATAGCGAAAAAACCCTTACCGAAAATTCTTTTTTTTAAAAAAAAATCACAATTGCTTGTCTATAATTTAATATGATTTTAAATAAATACATTTTTTAGGTGAAATGAACATTATAGTTTCACAATATAATCTGTTTTGATCGTTTTTTGGCAATTTTTCTTAACTATAAGCTCTCTCTTGAAAGGAATTCTAGTCTTTATTGTGAAAATTGATAGAAATATTATGTTTTGACAACTGTATATACTTAATATATGTCAGAACCGATTAGAACTAGGATCAATAGTAAATTAAGGAACTTTTTGAAAAGATTTTAACTAAATTCATGTTAAAGCCGATGAGCGGAATTGATCTAAAGACTCCAAAATGGTGTTATTTAGATTCACTATTACAGGTAGTAAAAATTGTGTACATTTTTATATAATTTTCAAAACAGGTAGTTTTAAAAATTATATTAAAAAAAAAGTTTCTTTAAATATTAAAAACCTGTAGCAAAAAATTTATACAACTTAAATCTCTTGTTTAGACATAATAAGCTGATAAAACTTTGCTAATTCCAAATAAAAGAATTTGAATAATTTGTAAATCGCCTTAACTACATCGAGAAGGAGGGGAAAAGTGGTATGTAAATAAAAACCAAAATTTTGCTATATGTTTTTATTAAACACTAGTTATGTAACACAAGTTTTTGAGTTATCAAATATTAGCATTTTTAATTAACTAAAATTTTTAAATGCTAATATTTGGGTGTGAGTTTTTTTATTCAAATTTTTGGTTGTGGGTTTTCATTCTTTAAAAGTGTATTTTTACTTAACAAATATTCAACTAAATAACTTAATCATATTGCTCATCTAAAAAAAAAACAACTAAAAAAGCAAACTCTGTGGGTTGATCAGCAATTGATAATAAACATATTACCCTTTCATATAAAAAATACCTAACAGGCTTTAGTTAAAAGTATTTCAACTTTACATGGATATATAAAATATGAAATATTTTGATGCGTTTACAGTCTAATTTTGGTCAGGTTACAGTCTAATTTTGAGCTTTGTCCAATCAAAAAAAAAAAAAATTTTTTTATTTAGGTATTTATTTTGAGCATAAAATTAGACCGTTTTAAAATCCTGGAATCTATTTTTATACAGGGAGAAGAGGTAGGGGAAGAAAGGGTGAGAGAAAAACTTTAAAATAGCTTTAAGCTTTTCAGAGTGGGGTGGGGGGGGGATGATGTTGTTTTTTTTTTCCTTTTAAAAAATATTTTATCTTTATTCTTTTTTTCAAGTTTTTGACTGCAAGAAAACTTGAAAAAAAGTTTATCATTTGAAAAATTTTCTATATTTATTTCTTCAGAGCTTCATTACTAATATACTAACTAAATTACTCCACAATAAAAGCTAAATGTGATAGTGGTAGAGAGACTGCAAAAACCTTTGTTTATCAAGGTTTGTGTTTCTGAGTTTAAGATTTTTTAAGATTACATACTTATCTTTATCTTGATAAAATGTGGAAATTGTTTTCCCTGTGACTTACAGCTCTTTTATATCGTGCCCAATTGGGTTTAAATTTGGAGCAAATGACTTTTCCCGCTTGTTCTGCAAATTTTGTCTGCAATTTTTTTTTCACAAAATAAACTGTAGGCTAACATAATGTAAATTTTTAATGTTACTTGTAAGTTATAAGAGTTACCAAAACACACACTGGTTTTATATATTTGAATATATTAGGGTTATGACAAAAAATATTTTTTTAGTCTGTAGTAGGAATAAATGAACGTTTTAATACTGATTGAGAAAATCAAATTTATTTTGTTAAATTAATGAAAAAGTTCCCGCACTAAGATTTCTGACATGGTGGGTGCAATATATTACCAAAAATATTTCTCTCCAAAAGTTTATCAAGTTGAGTTTCAAAAGAATTGTAATTTCATAGAAAATTTAAAAAATTTAAAGCTCTTAAATAATAACTTTTAAATAGAAATCAATTTTTTCAAGTTCAAAAAACTAACTTGCAACAAAAATGGAAAAAATTTTAAGACGTTTTTTAACAATATCTTTCTTAAGGTTACTTTTAAAATGGATTTTTATTTATATATAAAATTTCACTTATTTATTTATGAAATCTCTATAAAAGTTCCCTTTTTTTGAGGACCAAATGATATACTTTGGGAAAAAATATTTTTGGTAAAATATGACACCATATTGTCAGGTGTCTTGGTACAAAAACTTTTTTTTAAAACTAGTCCTAATATTAATTTATAAGACAATTTTGTTAATTATATACTCATTGAATTAATTAGTTTTTCTTTTTATTTACATTACAATTTGTTTTAAGTTAAACAAAGGCATATTCATATGATTTAAAAAATCTTATGTGAAATATCTCAGCATGAAATGGTATATTGAATGAAGATGTTTTAGCAGTATTAGTAGTCTGGGATCAAATAATCTTGTGTTCTCTTTTATTGCAGTGATAGTAGTTTGGGATCAAATAAGTGTTCTCTGTTATCACCAACAGTTATTTTTATAATTTTTAACTTTAAACTTTTTGTATTTATTGTTCTTTGAATTCTTTTCTGTACTTTTTTTTTTTCGTTTACTTTATTGTTTTACTTGTTTTATTGTTTATTACTTTATTATTTTGTTTATTTACTTTTATTAATTTATGTATTTTATTTTATAAATGTTTACACTTTTTCTGATTTTAATTATTAATTATGTTTTAATGTTTTCTGATTTTAATTATTAATTAATGTTTAATTATGTTTTGACGTATTTTACTTGATGTATGTTTAAATTTTATTAACTTTATTACATATTTAATTTTAGGCTGATCCGCCAAATCCTGATTTAATTCCCCAATCAGATATCTGCGGTGTGACAGTCATATTGCTGACATGTTCTTATAAAGGTGCTGAGTTTATTCGCGTTGGGTACTACGTAAACACAGATTACAGTGATCCAGAACTCAGAGAGAATCCTCCACCAACGATCATTTATGAGCAGCTGCAACGAAATATACTAGCATCTCAACCAAGGGTGACCAAATTTCCAATAGCATGGGAATAAATGCACAAAACTTGAACATACAAATGATAATGCGCATTGCATATAAAATATATATTAAAAAAAGTTTGAGAGAGCACAGTTAAATTTAAAATAATTCAACGAAGAGTGCAAAGTATAGAGAATAAGAAAGTTTATTTCTTTACTTAACCAGTATAAATGGAATGTTGTACCTATTTTTTCTGTATTTTATTAATTGATTTTTTTTTTTTTTTTTTATTTATTTAAAAAAAAAACTATGTATACATCGAGAATTTTTTTTTTTTAGCTTAAAATAAATTTGCTGCAATATTTAAGAGAATCAAAAAGTTACTCAATAACAACGTTTTTTAATATTCAAGTGTTTCTGTTTTTTTAAAAAACGTTTTTTGTTTTTCATATATTTTGTTCTGTTTGTTGTAAATAGAAATATCTAAAAGAAATTTATATTTATATGAATTTGTTTTTTTAAGTTGTCTTTTACGTAAATTTAAACTGCATGGGAAAATGTTTTTGGTAATTGCTTATTCATTACCGTAACAAAAACACCACCAGGAATCCAAGTCTTTTTAAGTTAAAGTCGTTTTTTTACGAATTTAGTCGGGTATTTGACGCAATTCAGTCGGGTAAATTATAGTTTTGATAACTTTTTTTTTAATGAAGCAATCAGTACTTTTTAAGTTCCGCCCCCTCATCCTCATTTTATGCCTCCGAGTCCACCAAATCAAAAAACTCCTATTGAGTATTTATGACTCTTTTTGCACTATTTTGCGCTTTTTTTGTAGTTGCGCATTTCTTGTAACTGTTTCGCGCAATTTTTTGTCCCCATGTTTACTTTCAAAAATTTATTTTTAATTTCAGTTATAAGTTACAGGAAATGAAAAATACAAAAGGTATTTTGTTTTATTACAATGGTAATGTAAATTAACATTGAAAGTGAAAATTCACATCATTACATTCCTATAAATTATTCCTATAAAACTAAATTGAAAATACAAAATTGCAAGTTATTTATCACCTGAATCAATAAGTAACGTTTTAAAAATTGTAAGGGACATAGGCAATACATTGTAAAGGACTTCCTCCCAGGATCAGCGACCCTAATCCGTCTATAAAAATGAATCCAAACAATGAAACAATTTATTTACGAGTTTAGTTCTTATAATAAAAAGCATCTTGTTTCTCTTGATAATTGACCAAAATTATATTACATTCAGTCACGGCTGTTTTTTGCTTAGGATAAAAGAAAACAAAATGTTTTTTATAAGACCTAAACTCCTTTGTAAATTGTTTCCATGTTTGGATTCATTTTGAAAGACTGTAACGGATCAGTATTACAGTGTTGAAAAAATAGTAAAGACTTTTTATGAAATGCTCAAAATAAACTCCAAGACCATTTTTTTGTTTGGCAGAATTTCGATACATGATTGATTAGTATGGAAAACTTTGGCGTTAAAGTATGGGCTTAAAATCTTCAAACACTACCCATTTATTAAAAATTGTTCGGTAAATTATTCCTTCAAAATTTCCCAATCCTGATAAGTCTTAACAATTTGTAGTTGCTGGTATCTCCCTCTTGTTCATTTCCACTCAAAATTGTTCTTTAATAATTACAGGGTTAGCTGATAACTTATTTTTTTTATTTAAAGTACAGTATAACACTTTTATGGAGTTTTTAGTGAAAAAAACTTTTAACTAACTGAGACAGGCTTGTGCATAACTATTTACAGATATGCACAAAGCTGTCTTCATACTAAAACGGAGTTAAACTATTCTTTTAAAATATTATTCAGACTAAATGTTGCATAGGTTTTTCAGCACCTTTTAAAGGTTTTATTTGACCAATTGAATTTTTAACCTTTTTACTGAAAACAAGATGTAGTGAGCTGTGACTATCTATTGAATCTGGGAATTCTGCAAAAACAAAAATATTTTTACTGTATACCAAATTCTATTTCTTTAACTACAGAAAATTAAGTTAAAATAATAATATTTATTATAAAATGCTGCAAAATCTGGAATTTGTCATTGTTTTGGATAGTTATCTTTTCTATTTACTAATTATAGAAGAAAACTTTTTCTTCATATTTTAGAACATAAATTAAGTTTTGTGGCATGCAAACACTTTAATGTCAAAGTTTCATATCTTGATCAATTATGTATTTAAATTCTGCCATAAAAACAAAATGGAATTTATTTTGAGCAATTTGTAGAAAGTCTTCCTCTCAACGCTGTATCACTGATTCGTTTACATAGGAATTTAACTCTTAAAATGAAAAACACCTTGTTTTTCTCGGCAATTTGACCAAAATTTTGTTGATACATTTTGTCGACTAGGTTAACGAGGCCGTGGTCTAGGATCGCCTTATTTCACTGATCCTGAGAAAACTCCGTTATAATAAAACTGTCCTGCATTCAATGACTCAGGTGATAAATAAATGATTGGAATTGATGCAATTTTATTTTTTAAATTACGTTTTGATAATTTATAAGAATGTAATGATGTCAATTTGTGCAACCGTGAGTTATGCAGGCATGAATTTTGAATTAAATAAGATAAATGACTGGTTTATGGCGAATAAACTCTCATTAAACGTTGAAAAAACAAAGTTCACCTTATTTCATACAAAAATGCAAGAAGAAAATCTTTCCCTTAAATTACCAGACCTATTTTCAAATAACATAGAAATAAAAAAGCAAGACTGTTTAAAGTTTTTAAGAAAACTTGTTTACAATAACTTATTTTAAATTCCCCATGTTAAATATTTATAATCAACAGTTAGAAAAACCGTTGTTCATATGTTACCGAGTTCCGAATACCGAGTTCGTCCATATGTAAATACAGTTTGTCTAAAGTTAATATACTTTTCTTTAATTCATTGTTTCATTAACTATGCTAATATTACATGGGGTTAGTACACAATCATCAAAACTTAAAAAAATACTTGCGCTAGAATTATTTACGGGAAAAAAAGAGGGGAGCATACTAAACCCTTAATGAGAAATATAAAAATGATGAATGTATACGAAATAAATTAAAATATCTTTGTAATTGTAAAAATAATTTGCTTTCTTATTATATCTTTAGTTGATTTTATATATTTTTATTTTATTACTTTTATATTTTCAATGGATTTTTATAACTCTTTTTGACAATATTTTATTATATTAAGGAGCTCTATGAAATGATTGAGGTGATATTGCATCATCCATATCTTCTTTGAGTCCTCGTCTATTTTCAAAATATTTTATTTATTAATACTTACCATACAAAACTCATCTGTAATTTATTTTAAAAACAAATTTTCACTTTCAGTGTTAATTTTCATTATCAATGTAATTAAACAAAATACCTTTGCAATTTTCAATTCCAGTAAATTTTCTGTAATTTTTAACTGAATTAGAAAGAAAATTAAAAAAAACAACATGAGCGACAAAAAAAGGCGCGAAACAATTGAAAGCAAAGCGCAACTACAAAAAAGGCGCGAAAAAAGCTAGTACAAAATGTTTCATAAATACTAAATAGGAGTTTTTTTGATTTGGTAGACATAGTTATAAGAAAACTATACTCATTCAGAAAACACTAGCCCTGCCAATTTTTTTTGAAACCCGTGTCGTCGGCTCTGATGTATATATATATATAGTAATAAATGTATATATATATATATATATATATATATATATATATATATATATATATATATATATATATATATATATATATATATATATATATATATAATAAACTATATATATATATATATATATATATATATATATATATATATATATATATATATATATATATATATATATATATATATATATATATATATATATATATATATATATATATATATATATATATATATATATATATATATATATATATATAGTAATAAATGTAATTTGAACTTTAATCGAGTGCTGAAATATTTTTATAAACATTTTATAAAAAAAGTTTAAGAGATTTTGCTTAACTTTCATGTTTATAAATAAACATAGAAGTCTGCTGAAAAAGATTACTCAAAAATTACTGACTTTTAGAACCAATTTATAGGTAATTTCGAAACCACTATATATATACAATTTAAACAAACGGGCAAGCTAGTTTTTAAAAAAATCATTAAACGAACGAAATCAGATTCTTTTTAGAAACAGATACGAAAATTATTACAAGTAAAATTAATACAACAAGTAAAATGGATGACAAAATAAATGGATAACAAAAAAGCTACAACAACTCAACTAAAAGACGAATTTAGCTTTTATTTACAGGAATTAATGCGTTTCCTATTTTTTATAAAAAAACTAAGGTAAAAACATCTTTTCCGCAACCAAGGTGATAACATCCTTTACATTATTGTTAAGAAAAGGAATCCTTTTGTTACGTAGAGTATAACCAAGATAAAAGTAATAAGTTAATGTATGACCCTCTTTACTAAATATTCACAAATAATACAGCTTTTTTTACTAAAGAAATAAAAACGTTTTTTAAAGTTTTTATAAAACTAAAAGAAGCAATATATACATATATATATATATATATATATATATATATATATATATATATATATATATATATATATATATATATATATATATATATATATATATATATATATATATATATATATATATATATATATATATATATATATATATATATATATATATATATATATATATTCATACATATATACTGGGTAAGATTATTAATTTTGGTTCCAAAAGAGATCTCCAACTTTTTTTCCTTTAAATAATCTAAATGATTGTCCAGAAAAAGGAGGGTCTTTTACTTCTGAGTAACTAACGTAACTCATAACTTTCTCGACAAGATTATTTAAAGCGGATAATATTTCTTTTTTTCGAACCATTTCTTCATTATTGTTTTCTGTTTCGCGTTTTTGTTTCTTTAAATCACTATTAACGTAGTTTTTTTTTTCAAAGTATTCAGAGTTTCTAAAAGATGAAGTTAAAATCGGTACAGCTACAATAAAGATGATAAATATTCCATATGTATAACACGCCATACGCATTTCTTCTCGATTATAACTAACTGATTTCCGACTTATCGATCTTTCCAAAAGAAATCGCAAAATATGTCACAAAGCGATAACTACAAATGACGTCGTTAAAGTTTCAGGGGGTTGCTTATTTCTAAAAAAAAAACAACTTATAAACAAGCTGCCGACAAAAACTTGTTAGTATGTAAAATTAAATTTTTTGCAGTATGGAATTATATGCATATTTTATTATATGCTTTTGTATTATTTTTTTTATTTTAAGCTTATTATTATTAAGTTTTATTATTATTTTAAGCTTACTTGTATTTTTGAACGTTTAGCGTAATTTAAGACCATAAAAAATATTGTTTAAAAGAATAACTGTCGTTTAAAAATTATTTTCAAATTTGTTTTGCACGCAAAACGATTACATGAGAAATCAATCTGCAGAAAAAATTAATAAACGATGAACAAAAAATCAAGTTGAATAAAACAATAAAACATTTTATAAACATTTTTCTGACAATTTTATAACATTTCAAAATTTAGTAATGTAAGTTTTTTAAGTAAATTCTTAAATATCTTGCATAACCATAAAACTTGTGAATATATATTAATCTTGGTGATAGTAGGAGTGTGAGCTATTTATACAACTTGGAGATAAATACCTGGTGTTTTCCAAAATCCACGTGTTTGTTTTTATTTATCTTCAGTGTGATACCGAAACAGTTTGCGATTGTTGTTTTCGCGGAAAAATGTTTAACACCTGAAAGCAAAACAAGAACACTTGAAAAACTAATTCCACTTGTACTAATGCCGAAACGTTTTCGTTTGTTTTGATCTTAGCACTTTGTATTGCAATATTTTTTAGGTTAAACTTCTTTATTTAATATTTCCCGTCGAGATGAATATTCAAATAAAAGATTTTACGTCAAAAGTCATAGTTTTAATTGGTCGTAATAGATAAAATTTTTACCAAAACACCAAATGTCGGAAATACATTCAATAAAAGTATATTCCTAAAATAAAGTTTAAAATTTCAAAAGTTTGTAAAGAATTTCAAATCAGTTAGTGACAAAGTTCTGGTAATCAGAAAGATCTAAAAAAGCGAAAAGCTTGCCTTATTAGAGCGCTAATAGAATTACCATCTTGTAATATTTTACTATTCAATTAAAACATTGAGTTGCATCATTTACCCACAATTAAAAATAAATAAATCAAAAAAATTTTAATATTACCAAATTTAAATTTTTCCAAAATAACTGTTACCATAGTTTTATCAGGAATTTAGAATTAATATTTAAAAATTTTTCAGAATTTTTTAAATATTGGTTTGTTTGTCATGACCAAAAATGGATTAGTTTACAAATAACTCTAATTTATCCCGAACCGAAGCAAAAGTAAGAAAAAAAAGTAAGAAAAAAAAGTAAGAAAAAACAAACTTTTCTTTAAATAAAAACAGTTTTAATGATTTAGCTCCTTATTAAAAAATTTCGTGAACAAAAAAAGAATTCTTTTTTTTTTGCAGTCTTTTTTAAATAGCCCTTCGAAGGACTATTTATAATGTGATTGATTTAAGTTAAAACAAAAAAAAGTTTCTATGAGTATTTATTGATAAAAATGAAATCTGGGGAAATCTTTTTAATAAAGCATAACAACCTTGGCACAGTAGTTACCGTTCTAAACTTGAAATCAAGATATGCGAGGTTTTGTGTTTGCTTAACTTCCTCGTTAAGTGCTCGTCCGCGGTGCACTGTAACGAGGCGGTCTCCTTGGAGCGCTAAAATAACTATTATATATTATTATCTTTATCATTATTATTGTTATAATTATTATTGCTGTTATTGTTGTTGTTATTCTTATTATTATTATTGTTAGAACTGTTATTATTATTGTTGTCATAATTATTATTATCGTAATTTTTATTTAAAAAGCGCGTTAAAATATAATGTTCAAAACAAAATGAATGGCAACGGAGTAATTTTCGGAATTGAGGAAGGGTTAAGAAAGAAAATCAAGGTTAGAAACAAAGCTAATTACTGCTCATTTCATCATTTAGAAGTTCTTCAGTGGGGATGCATTCAATTTCAATGTACTTTGATTCATTTTTTAGTTTTGTATTGCTTTATAAGCTGAAGATCCATGTTCGAAACGAGCTCCGGACGTTTTGGATATTTTTGCTCTGGACATTTTGGATATTTACATTCTGGATATTTTCGCGTCACGGTAAGTAAGGAGGCATGAACTTCCTGGTTAAATGCACTTTCGCGGTGTTCTGTGACAAGACCGTTAGGTCTTCTTGGGGCACCTAAAATAACAAACAAAAAAAAAAACAAAAAAAAAAACAAAACAAAAAAAAAAAGTTAGAGAATTAAATAAACACCTCTTTTAAATAAAACCCTAACGTATTAACTAAAATAGTCACGGGAAAAGTCATATTTCATAAGCATTTGGTATAATATATTTATAATATATTTATCAAATAAAAGTGCTTCTTAAAAAACCGCAGTGTATTAAACTTGGGAACAACAAAACCACCAAAACTTGCGTCCTCCTTCTCAAGCAATAATTTGCTTAGTTTTATGTTATTACTGTTTTAAACGAAATTTAAATTCATCAAAAAATTTTAACTTTTATATGATAATATGATTATATAATCATACAAAATTATACAAAATTTATCATATTTATTGCTTATCAATTAGTTTAACTATTTAGTCACAAACCCTTAAAAGCAATTTTTGTAAATCTTATTATAAAATAAAAATTTAAGATAAAAATAAAACCATTGGTGTTCGGAATTACCCTACATACGTGAGGTAATTCCGAACACTGGGGAGCAATCACAAACACTGTTGTGTAATAACGAATAAAATGCTAATTGTAATAACTAAGTTCAAAAATTTTACTATGCCACAACAACAACAAAAAAGGAGTGGTTTTATATACATAGAATCTACAACAGAATGTTACTCAGGAAAAAAGTTGCATAAAATAATCAGAAAAAGTTAAAATCAAAATATAGTGAACAACAATCGCAGCTTCATAACACTACTGCACGTCTGGAACTGAGCATGGGATTCCCTCTAAGCAGGTAAAAAGAAGTTGTAAAATTTATTTTTCTATAATGTTTTTTTGACCATGTTCAGAGTTACTCCCCTATTTTATAAAAATTTTTTATAAAATAAGAAACGTTTAATAATCTTGCAACAGAACAACAACTATTTTGATACAGAGATTGTTTCAAACAAATCACTGAAAGCAATAAAAGAAAAGTTTGCTTTCTTACTGGTTTATACAAGTAATTTTTAAGATTTTATTGAAGCAAAACAGTCTATCGATAATTCAATGTCAATGCTCTCAAGAAGCTCACGCTTAATCAAAATCAATCCAGAAAGACGTTTGCTTGTCATTGTTGATTATAAAACAGGTAACAACTGTTACCTGTTTTATAAGTATAAAACTTATAAAACAGGTAACAACTGCTTGTTGTTTTTTAGCTTTAACTTTTCAATTTATTTGCTAAAATAAACTTATGAATTTTTAATTACAAACTTATATGTTTACTGTTCTAGAAAACGTGGGGACTATATACTAAACGCGTCACTAGTTTACACATCTGCTAAGCGCGCATTAATGGTATTATTTTTTATTGTTGCTTTAGGTGCCCCAAGAAGACCTAACGGTCTTGTCACTGAACATCGCAGAAAAGTATTTACCTTTACAAATAATTTTTTTATAAAGTTTATACTATTTCTCTGAATATATCTATTGATACTAGTTCTATTTAGAAATTAGACAGCTAAGTTAGCTAATTTATTTCGTGTATAATTGCAAATCTGTTCATAGCTTATCAAGATGATTTATTTAATCACGATAATATCCGTTATATTTTTTATCTATGCAATAATTATGTTATAATTAATAATAGCACAATATAAGTTTATATCCTGAATCTTTCAGAAAAATAAAAAAGGGGTAGGATATATATATATATATATATATATATATATATATATATATATATATATATATATATATATATATATATATATATATATATAGGGGAAAGTTGGCGTAATTGGAACAATTTAGGAATAAATATTTATTAACCAAAGATGGCTGAACTTTGAAAATATTAATGACTTGATTAATACAAACAGACATCCCTACTATACTTTTAACCACAATTTGACTTAATTGATTGCACTGTTATTGGAAATAAATTTGTTTTTTCAAAGTTACCATTTTGTTCCAATCAAGGCAACTGGTTCCCTAAATTGAAAAACTTTGATTCCTTTATCAGAACAGGTTTTTTTTTTAAAGAAATAATCCAGTAAAATCAACAAAAATTTGTAAAAAATGATTTTCATCTTTACAGTGAAAATTTAAACAGTTAATTCAAAACTTATTATAGGATTAGTATTATCCTGACAAATTTAAAGTCTACAAACAAAATATTGTATAAACCTTTAACTGTTATGACGTTCTCTTAATTTATTGATTAAAAATCACTAAGTAAAGTATTATATTTAAGGTTTATAATTGTTACTAAGTATTTTTTTAATTGCACTCGAACTATTTTTACAACCCTTTGATTTTATTAGTGATTAGGTAAGGAAATCCTCAATGTTCCAATCAAGGAAACTTTCGACTTTTTTGTTATATCACTACAACATGCTTGCAGCAACTTATAAGATAAGTTTATATTGTTATTTTTCATTTAAAATCCTATCGAGTTAAACACAAAAAATGGTATAACCTGTAGCACCATAGTTTACCGAGCGCTATCAATATAGTGTGAACACAAAAATAGATCGCTGAAAAAAATGACGCAAAAAAACTTTAAATCACGCATTTTTTGAGGAACAACTTTCAAAATGTGTCAAAACATGCGTGATTATATATAAATGTATGTATATATATATATATATATATATATATATATATATATATATATATATACATATATATATAATTGTATGTATTTATATATATATATATATATATATATATATATATATATATATATATATATATATATATATATATATATATATATATATATATGTATATATATATATATATATATATATATATATATATAAATGTATGTATATATATATATATAAATGTATGTATATATATATATATACATATATATATATATATATATATATATATATATATATATATATATATATATATATATATATATATATATATATATATATACATACATTTATATATATATATATATATATATATATATATACATATATATATATATATATATATATATATATATATATATATATATATATATATATATATATATATATATATATATATATATATATATATATATATATATATATATGCATAAATATATATTCATTTAACTTTTACTTATCGCAAAAAATTACGCCTCTCTTATTGTGCGACAATTTTATTGTCGCTTATCAAATCAGTTTTTGAGAACTTTAATTTTTAGTACTTTAAACAAAAAATTAAAAAAAATGAATAAAGGGTTGAGCACGAATTAGTTAAGAATAAATCAAATGTCACTTTTTATATTTTACTATATGAGATAATCTTCTTTAAGTAATAAAATTATGTAACAAAGTATGTCATGGAATATTGGTCGAGCGTTTTGGATACAAGTTACTTTTTTACATTCAGAAAGAATTATGCTAAATCAATGTATAATTGTTTATAAATGTAAATTTTACAAAATTAATAAAAAGTAGAAACAGCAAAAGAATTAGTTAGAATTCTTAGAAAAAGTCACAACAATTTATAATAAAATATATTAATATAGCATAATATATAAAAATATTTATACAATATATAAAAAAGTTATAACTTGAAAATAAAAACACTCAGCAGGTTTTTAAAGACTTCCTCGTTCAAATATAAATTAAATAAGTAATTTCGGTGTCAGAAGGCAAAGATTCTTCTGATAACCTGTTTTTTTGCATGCTAAAAAGCAATGATATATAATTGTAATTTGCTAAATCTAAAGTGTAAATACTCTGCCAGAAAGTTTTGAAACTTTTACTAAGAAAGTTATTTACACTTTTTTTCTTAGGGCAGTACCCAAAGGCCAATATTTAGTATAATTTCATTGGAACTAGAGTAAAATTTCATTTAAATGAAATTTTACTCTAGTTCCAATGAAATTATACTAATAATAAATCATTTAAATTTTTTAATAATTTAAAATAATAAATCATTTAAATTTTTTGGATAAATTGATTTCTTAGTTGAAAGTCTTTGCCTCGATTACCCAGCTAATAAGTAAAAATAACTAAACTTTTGTGAAATTAATACTCAAAATAAACCAGTCATTTTAGAATAAAATTCGG